CCCCAAAACCCCAAAACCCCAAAACCCCAAAACCCCAAATTTTAATTATATTTTTGAACTTCAGCACCAACAAAATGGGATCTTGTGGATCAAACCCCAACAACGTTAAGACAAAGAAAAGGAAGCAGCTCTCTTTAGCTCAGCTCAAGGCCATGCAGGACAAGTATCGACAACAATATAAAGACCTTCAAGTTGAGGATGACTGTAAGTCCCCTAGATGATGTTTTAGCCGATCCAAATGAGGTCACTATAGATCTTAGTACCAAAAGCGATCAGAAATTTATCATGGTATTCGCAAATGGGTAAGCGAAGGAGTTATTTTTAGGTACATTCTCCCTTCAATCGACGTCCTTAAGGTTAACAATTGCATGAATATCCACCAAAGCGTCTCACTTTTACTCACAGAATGTGTGAAGAAAAAGGATGAAAAGGTAGTCAGGAAAATTAAATTTTAGAATTTTATTAAGGAACTTTACCTTAATAATACTGTTAATGAGCAATCAGGACTTCATAAACTCGAAATTGAGTCATATTGTAAACCGTTGAGAGTCGTGTCAAGTGTCGTTACAGATAAAATACATCTCTGGTAGTCCTCAAGTTAATTTGTAGGTACTGATCATTCAATAGTAAAAGTTTCTCTAAAATTCTGAACTGGTGATCCGGTGTGAAAGAAATCAGCTTTTTCAAATCAAGGATAAACCTTAAAGAAGAACTTTGTTTCAATGACGAAGAATTTGAGAGCGTAATATACTAACTCTTAGTCCTATAGGATCTGAAACTAGAAACTTTGAACTTCTATGGTTGTGGTGATGATAACGGTCTTCCCCTCATCAGTGAAAAGGACATTGACATAATTGCGAAGGCTATTATTAGTTCACCTCTTTTATCATCAATCAAAGAGGTATTTTTCCGGTTTTACACCTTAGTTGATCATCAACAATTGTGAGTTGAACAAGATTGAGGTCCGAAGTATCCTTCAGGAACATGAAATAGAGCATATTGTAGTTTGGGACTAATTCAATCAGACATCTGATTTTGGGGTTTTGGGGTTTTGGGGTTTTGGGGTTTTGGGG